CCCCAAAACCCCAAAACCCCAAAACCCCAAAACCCCATCAGAGCTACTATGAATAGAAATAAATATTTCAGTAAATATCTTAATCAGACGGATTAGTTATTTCAAGTAAGGTCTGAACCAAGCTGGTATTAGCTCCTTCTGAAGATGGAGAATATAATTTAGATTTCTCTGGATAGTCTGACCTTTAATCCCACTAGCATTTGCTATATTATCGATTGGTAGGGAGAATGGTGAATCTTTAGTCACTAAATAAATGGCTACTCCAGCAATCGTGTTTGGATTTTTCCCAGTAAGAAGTTCTCTCTCCATCACGATCTCTACTCACTGTCTGCAGGCTTTCTCGATTATATCAGAGATTTCAAGAGTTCTTCATATATTTGATACCTTCTCTGCATAATCGATACTCACCGTAGAAGTTGGCATATTCTTAGTGATGGCTTTGTATCATCTTGTAACATCTCTCCTTTTGAGTCTGACAACACTGAGCAATTCTTTTAAGTCCTTGCTTCTGCCAACTATCTTGGATGCCATGAAGACGCATGCAGCTAACCTAGCTTCAATAGGTTTGCTTGGGAAGATACTCTTCTTCTCACCAGCTGCATAAAGGTCTAATGCCATTTCTGAGCAAGATCTAGTCAGGTTTAAAGCTCTAATAAAACCTTTAATCATCACCATGCTTGCCTTGATATTGCTGTCTGTACGAGAAACAAATCTTTTTGTAGCTTTTTGGATGCTATTTTCTACTCCAGCAGGTCCAGTGATATTTCCTTCAATGCCAAAGCTTTCAAGATTTGGATTTATATTACTCCCAGTTCTATCCATTGTGGAAGGTTCTGCACCAGCTCACCATTCAGCAGTAGTGTCAATCATGCTGAATTCCTTGACTAAGCCTCAATTCTTGCAGACGGCTGTGCCCTCCTTCTCATTTATCACAACTTCTCTCCTCCTACAATGAGCACAGATTGTTGATTTTATCTGTGCAATGTCCATTTCCTTCTTTCTTCTTTGACTTGGAGTAATTTTGGGTTCCATGTAACTAAATATTATTAAAATTTTGAATCTTTTTCACTAATTAATCCAGACTCAATTCTTTATCTCAAAAAAGGGGTTTTGGGGTTTTGGGGTTTTGGGGTTTTGGGGTTTTGGGGTTTTGGGG